CATTAGTCTCCTTCAATAACCGCTCATCATTTTAGTTAGCACACTGCAAAGATATGCTGAATTTGGCGTTCAAACGTTATACGGACTATCTGGAAAAGAAACGGGAGCATTCGGATGGTCATTAGGAGTAACAAGATTACAATTGGTCAACAGTATATGTCTTAATTTGTCCACTCCGTTGTTGTATAGAAAAGTGCCATGGATCTCAAATTGTGTATATTGTGGGAATTGGAAATCGCATACGTTGTCTTCGTTGTGCTCAAATGAAACTGTATATTGTTTATTCGTTTGAAAAGATCCTCATTCTGTGTTGATGGTTGTTTTTCGCACAGTTTTATGTTTTGATTTTTGAATGTAAGATCTTTTTGTGAACGTTGAATTGTTGAATTGTGTTGAACTGTTTTATTGCGTTGTTTTCTTTTATGATTATTATATGATGATAACTTCGGAATAATAACCTCGTTTATTGTTATTGGTTTAATTGGGATTCATGTGGAATAAATTTTGTTGTTTCAAACGTTCCAGTGTTATGTGTCTTTTCAGTTTATCGTTTGGGGACATTCCGCAATCACTTCAGTGTATTTGCATGCCCATTGCCGACTTTTTACCAGCTTATTTACTTGCTGCTATTTTTTCAAGTTGAATTAATGTGGAATTCTCGGCACTTTGGGAATATTGCGATTGTTCTGTCATTGTAATGTTTCCGCGGTTAGCTCCATCTCACGAAATCATTGAAGTCTGCGTTGAAATCCCATGATTGCTTCCGCATTATTCGTCGAGAATGAAATCATTGATAGATGATAATCTGTTGCATTTGATAACAGATTAACGCTTTGCAGATCAGTTAGAATTGCAAGATATATAAGCAAAAAATACTGCTGTGAAGTTTATGTTTGATTAAGATTGGTGGGCATGAGGTGCACCACGTTCATGTTGTCGCTTATATGGCGACGTTCCCAAAATCCATGCAGGAGCTTCAGTTCCGCTTCATCGGCCAAACGCACCTTGACCGATGTCAACTCAAGGCCTGATTTGGATTTTGATTATCTGCTGGATTCGCGCAATTTGGCGACCATTCGTGAGAATATCAAACAACGTAAGGGAATCGGAGATATTGATTTGGTGCATCGTTTATGGCACGAAATTGAACAGTATCCGACTCGCCGAGAGCGCGATGTCGATGAATATCAAAAATTATGGGATGAGGTCCGTTGTGTTTGATACGATCA